CGAGTGGAGGAACTACGAAATTGATGACCAAGCTCGATCGAGTGGAGATTTCGAAGATTCAACCAAGAAATCAAGTTTTGCAGGTTCAATTTCATATTTGAATTCAATACATGTGAGCAGTACATGTATAATATGTGATTTTGATTGGTTTGCAGTAGAGTTTAGCCTTGGATAAGGAATTTGAGCACAAATTGTTCGTAAGTTTCATATGCATGTGGAATAGAGTTAAAGCCAAGGATTTCTTGGTTATGCTTTGATAAACTTATAGTATGGCATGTTGTTAAATGACGAATTATCATCACTCAGAGAGTAATTTCAGTAAATATGTGGAGAGTTTTGTGGATAAAGACTTAGAGAATTCATATTCGAGTACAAGTAATCAATTTGGGAAAATATGCACGATATAACACATTATGGTGATTATAAAGCTGCTGATTTGATGCTTCCATGATGTTGCATCTCAAAGATTTGAGAAAAAAATGTTAAGTCAGTTTAGTCTCAGTTTGATCATACACTTGATGTGTTCGAACTTCCAAGTGTATGAGAATATAGCGGACATGTTGTTTGTTGGGTCAAAGTTGTACTCATACTATGGCCAGATGGTATTATTATACATATAATTGGTCAATCCCCCGAGAGGGTGTTGAACAGTTGTCTTCGACAACCATATTTGCCTTTTTGGGCTGTAAACAGACACTGTTTTAGTACAGATTTATATCATCAGAAACTATGACTTCATAGCCTAATTCTTAAGATATCATCAGAAAATAGGACCTTGGCTWTTAAGATATAATTCTTAAGTTATATCAATATTAAGTATCATTTTCACTCATTTTGTTTTTCTTTTAAAGTTGCATTTGACTATTAAATCTGCAGCAATTTGTTTGAAACATGGTTGCCAACAGTATTACTCATCCTTCTCATTGGGACGTTGTCAATAGAAATCTCTAAGGTAGAACTGTCAGGTATCTCTGTTCTCCTGGGGACGTTGTCAATAGAAATCCTACTCATCCTTCTCTCACCCGGGGAAGGATCATCTGCACTCCTCCATGATGTCAGGTATCTCTGTTCTCCTGTTATGAGGTTCTTGCCCAATTTCATTCCTGGTATAAAGGTATCTCCAGAGTAATCAAAACTTTGCCAAATGAAATTTTCCTTCCAGACATTTTTTTCATCCTTATAATCAAAGCTTTGCCAAATCAAACTTTCATTGCTTATAGTATCCTCATCCTTGATTACTAGAGTACCACCATTTAAGAGTTGTGCCATGKGCATGATATTTGTGCTGGATGCCGAGGAATTGGATGACCAAATGATGTCTGTGCTGCCACAATTGACAAGAGACAGGATATCTTTGCTGTCCAATTTGAAAATGCCTGAGGTATCGAAGAGTGGAGTTTCCTGGTTATCAACCCATACAACTGTATGAGGTGATGTGTTCTTAAACCATATYCCCAGTATCGATTTTCTGAACTTCCTGGGCTAAAGAAACCCATCTCGAATTTTTAGTTCTCCGAAACAATGGTCTCACCATCTGTGATGTTTTGATACACAGCTATGGTGTCTGCTGAACTACAAGCTGTTAGCATGAGAAAGAAGGTAACAGAAGGGAGTAMTATTATGGCTTGATTCATATCAATCAACTGATTGAWTTTTCCTTACAATTTATTTGGTCTTCTATGCATTMAAATGCTAAACCTCATCAAGTGGTGAATTTTTAGAACTTCAAATGGGATTGTGCAAATAAAACTGAAAGCTAAAAAGACCAAGCCGGCATAATTGAATTGTATATCTTCAATTTTCTCCCTTGCTTTAAATGGGTAAATGATACAGTAATTATTCATCAAGTTGAAGAGTCCACACCAGTAGGACCAGCAGCCACCGTCTTTGTTTAGAGTTTTTATTTATTTTTAGTTTAGTTGCTTTTACCTTTTACCACGTCTTCCCACGTTGGAATCGATTTGGTCTTCCATCTCATTCGAGCATCTCCAACAGATTCTCTAAAATAGARAAAATGGAGGTTTTGTTCTCTATTTTGCTCCAACAAGAGAAAACTCCAAGTTTAGAGAATTCTCTAAAACTTGATGGAAGGAAAGAGAAATGATTTTTTATTCATTCCCACGAATGAGATTGAATTATTATTATTTTATATAAATTTGCTAATGTTAGGTCTTGTGAGCCTGTAAAAGGTTCATTTATTCAGCACTATAAAAGCAAGCRGYTTTCAGCTYATTCTTCTCTCTTTATTTTATTTTTTTGTTTCTGCTTTGTTTTCTTGTTCTTCAGATCCAGTGGCAGATTTAAGAAGGGGMCACTGAGGTCCCATGCCACTATGAACTTGTTTGTTGTAATGTAAATTTTTTACCATCCTCAACGGTGCTAAAACTATGATTCAGTTTGTGCTACCATTACCAATAMTGGAGCCAGCTACCTTTGTTGCAGAGCGTTGTCTCTGGAAAACTTGTTAATAAATATGCACTACGAAGTAAAAACAAAAGAGTTGCATGGAAATAAACAAGAACAGAGTTGAGGCCTGTGTTGAATATATACACAAAAAAGTCTGGAAAGATTCTTACTCTTTAAAGAAAGTACCAAAGTTTATCATGGTCAACCTCAGTGCAACATTCGTACCAGCAAAACTTGGGCTCACACGCAAGTTTAATGATCTGAAGTCATTTCATTCGAAGTTTGGCACCCCTAACGCTTGGTGATTTTATTCTTGCAACTATGGAATTGTATAGGAAGTAAATATTTGTTTCCTTTCCCACCTATGGAAATTTATCTTGATCTCTACTAGAAAGATCAAAGGTTTAACTATTCTGTWATGCTGCATACTACCATGCCAGAAAACAAGCTGAAAAAAGAACATTAAGATACACAGTTCCATACAGCATCACGAAGCTTGTTTGGAGCACTAACATCAAGCTACCRACTGGATGTGTTTACAGAGACAAAGCCATGAAACCSATGATTAGGATCTTAATTRGGGAAATTTGAAGGAGACAGATGGGATACTCCACAACAGGTATGTACATCACACATAAACACATGTAATCTATCTAGCATACATTAGTGTTATCATATATTCATCAATTGATGAAACAGAGTCCTGCTCTCGGTAACTTTCTTCGATGAAAAAAGCTGGMTGTTTCGGTGGAGGMAAAAYACCCTCACTAACRAGCATCAAAACCACTGACAACATAGTTGGCCTATCTTCTGCATGATGTTGCACACACAATAACCCRACATGTATTGATCGTAGTACTTCTGAGACAATGCATGAATTGCGTAAAGATTCACTCATGATTTCAATGGACTTGTCTTCTTTATAGAGTCTCCATGCCTGAAGAAATCAAACTTCATATTTATAAGTATGCTAAAAGAGCAAGGTTTAAAGAATACGCTTAGTTCCTTGTGGAGTTCATAGGGTTTAGTCTACCAGAATAACTTACATGTCCAAGAAGGTTGTCACTGTGATCTCCATGAGAGAACCCTCTGTTTTTCTTCCCGCTCACTATCTCCAGCACAAGAACACCGAAGCTAAAAACATCTGACTTTATAGAGAAGCGTCCGTGTACTGCATATTCAGGAGAAATGTAACCGCTGCACAAAGTTCAACGATATAAACATACAGGTTACTATTGGAACTTCTTGTTTGTTTCTATTTTCCCCTTTTCTTTCTGAAAAAAGTGGGAATATTAACTGAGTGCGGTATGTTTTACAGATTCTTACTATGTTCCAACAACCTTCTTCGTCTTAGCCATGGCATCCTGCCCTACAAACTTTCGAGCAAGGCCAAAGTCGGATATTTTTGGATTCATATCACTGTCCAGCAAAATATTACCTGCCTTGAGATCTCGATGGATGATTTGAAGGCAAGAATCTTGATGTAGATAAAGAATACCTCGAGCCATACCATGKATAATTTGAAAGCGTTGAGGCCAGTCAAGCATTGAACTTCTGCTTTCATCTGCCCAATATGAACTACTTAGTCCATGTATGCTGCTGATCTATGTGTGAATTTTCCAAGAAATTCAACAAGAAGACTACAAGATATGTGAAAGTAAGGCACTAGAGAGAGTCRAACCAAATAGAAATGAGTCCAAACTTTTATTAGCCATGTMTTCATAAATCAAAATCATTTCATTCCCATGAATGCAGTATCCAAGAAGCTTCACAAGGTTCCGATGCTGAAGTTTTGCAATACAAATGACTTCATTCTTGAACTCATCAATCCCTTGTTGAGATGTTTCTGAGAGCCGCTTCACAGCTACATTTCTTCCATCTTCCAACACACCCTAAAAGTTTAAGGTTAGGGCTTATGATACTAACATTTCTATTTAATTTATTTTTTACTTCTGCATCATGAGACTGATACTCTTTYTTTTTTATTCAATATCAATAAGTTACCTTGTAAACAGGACCAAAGCCACCTTCTCCAATCTTATTGTTGATGCTGAAATTATCTGTAGCCTTGGCTATTTCATATAGGTTAAAAAATGGCAGCGTATCAAGATCATCCATTTKAACACTAGCATKCTTTTTATCAARGGCATTCCAGTTTCCTACAAAGAAGTTGAATGTCTTAATTATGTGAATCTGCTAAAAGAATTGTACTCTTACAAACTTGCAATTTGTGTGGATGTTGGCTACTGTTTCATTTCTAGAACTACAAAAATGACTTACCTCGTGCTTTCTTTGTTTTTCTACAAGCATATGCTATCGTCGACAGAAGCAGTGCAGCAGATGAAATTGTCAGCACCACGATGAGTACTTCTTTCTTGATGAAGCGGGATTGAGAGACCATGCGGCCTTTTGTTAAAGGATACAATAGTTAGTAATGTCTTTCTACAAACACATATTGTTGCTATTCTATATATATGACTCTGTATATAGTAATTTTCTACGAGTTTTAGCACATAACTGGTAGTACTGACTGAAGGACCTTTGACAGTTGTAGGATCAAAATGTGGTGTACCTGCTAACTCAGAGGCTGCCATTCTTACGTAAAGTTCTTGCTTTTCATCATATTCTCTTATGTCCATCAGTTCATCAAACCATAGCAAACATCCACTTCCACCGTTTCTGATATCTAATTGTGCATAAGCGGTACAAGAGCAATCCCTTTTGCAAGTCATCTCACATTCGGCAAGTGTCATGCTCACATTGTAACTTGAACGTCGTGTATCTGGAAATTTTACTCCTGAAATTTTCCAAAAGCCATCCTCAATCCCACATTGCAAAGGTTGTTCACGTTGACACCCACCAGACCAATCTGCTGCATTCCATTCCTCTGGTAGTCGTGGTTCAAAACCTTCCAGACAACTACAGGGGGGATACATGTTGATGCTACACGTTCCATAAGGACCACAGCGTGCATAACGACCACAACTATCAACTACTATATTTCCATACACGGCCCATTCTAGGGTTCGCTCGATCCAGTTTAATTGTAGTGTGATGCCTTCTGATGACACATGTATCCTTGGAAGAACTGAATTCTTCTGTTTATATCTATAATATATTTCTTTCTCATTAATAACAAACTCTACTGAATAAATTGAATTTGGGTTTTCAACAGGAAAGCCATGAAACCCAACACCGTTCCAATGTCCATGCCTGGAGTGTATAACTCGACCTTCCCTCTGAAATATTTGTGGATATCCATTTGTGTCTATCCAGTTTTTGTATAGACCTATAGAAGGTTCATCAGGACTCTTCCAAGATGTTAAATACTTCTCTCTTCCTGATACCAAATCCTTTCCAATTTTCATTCCTGGCAGCAGTGTGTCACCAGGATAATCAAAACTTTGCCAGATGGGATTTTCTTTGGTGCTACTTTCATCCCACAGAACAAGATTCCCGGTGTCCAGAAGTTGTGCCTCCAGGTTACGRCTCCTGACAGATACCGTTGAATTGGATGACCAGATCAAAGTATTACCGGCACTGAGAATCTGTAGGACTCCTTCTCTACTGACTTCAAAAATGCCAGATGTATCGTTGATTGGTTTCTCTCTGTTGGCAACCCATACAACGGTACCCTTTGATATCTTCTTGTACCATATCCCCAGGTACCGATTCCTGGACTTTCCAGGGCTAAAAAAKCCCAGTTCAAACATGTCACCATCTGAAACAATGGTGTCACCATCTTTGATTGCTTGATTTCTTGATATTGTGTCTACTGCAGCAGACCTTGAGAGGAGAAAGAGTATGGTACTTGAGAATAACACAAGGATGGGATGAACATAAACCTCCATTGATGTGTTCTTGTAAAAC